TTGTGCTTGACCTTCAGATCGAACAAGATGGGGTCCGACAAAACCTGCATGAAAACGGTTCTGTAAGCTGTAGGGTTTCGGATATGGGGATTTATGGTTGAGGGTGCAGGGGTATATGATTTAGGGGTTTGAGGTTTGGGGTTTAGGGGTTGAGCGTTTAGGGTTTAGGTTTCGTCGAATGACCTGAATCGAACACTCATGTGTTGTTACGTGTACGGGTTCCCCACGACTGTAACGCCAGTCAGGGTTTAGGGTTTAGGGTTTAGGGGTGTAACCCCATGGATCGTCGAACGACCTGAATCGAACACTTGTGTTTTGCTACGTGTATGGGGACCCCACGTCCGTAACGCCAGTCAGTGGTGTGGCCCCCAAATGCATTATCTGTAGGGTGGGGATGTTCGAAGTAAGATAATTTAGACTTGAGACCTTGTTACGGGGGCCGGGTGTGCTATCCAGGTCTGTATCTTGAATGGCTGACGGGTGGCCTCTGTGTTTATATAGGGGTTCGTTTATCCCATAAACTTACATGTGTACCTTTCACCAGGCCCCCTAAGTACAGGAAGACATGGTTTAGTATTTAGGGCTGCGTGCATTTCTCCTTTGCATGAGTCTGGGAGCTAGGATTAGGGGACCCTTGGGGATATAGACACCCTAAACCCTAAACCCTAAACAGAAGGGGTACCCTTTAAGGGGTACCCCTAATACTACCTAGGAGAGTGAGGGGCCCCTTACTCACTGGAGTCTTACGGAAAGGGGCAGTGCCAGATGCGTCCCTCCAGACCTTCAGCCGTTGACGGGCAAGCATCAACAACAGGGTGTAGGAGTTTAGGGTTTAGGGTTTAGGGTTTAGCAGTTTGGGGAGTTTCGAAAACCAAACCTTGCCGAAAGCCGGAGCTGAGCCCTCAAACTCGCCAACCTCACGCCCACAGAAAACACAAAAAGTCGCACAAGACAGGGAACAGAACAACAAGAATAGAGTACGCAGGTAGGCTATTGTGTAATCACAAAGGAATGACAACGGACCTTGCGTCCAATCATGCAAACATCTACATTACGGCCTGGAGTTCAGACTTGAACGCAGACAACTCCTTACACAGCTCCCACAGCTTTTTTGCACCGAAATCCGAAGTGTCTAAACCCCAAAACAAACCCTAAACCCAACTCCGCCCTAAACCCTAAACCCTAAACCCCAACCCCGATCCTTAAATGCCACAGTCTCCGAACCCCAATCCTGGCATAAGGCACCAAAGGCACGTGAGGATCAACGATGTTGGGACGTTGACGAACCCCAACAAGGTTTAGGGTTTAGGGTTTTAGGGTTTAGGCTGCACGGACGATTCCAATCACCTAATCCACAACACCCTGTTGGTGCACGCGTAGCGGATCTTCTGACATCAAGAACCCCTAGCCAAGTTCGAACCCACGTGCTAAGGCAACCACATCCACGCCCTCGATGAAGTCCTCAGTGACCGTTCTTTTGCGGCGTTTGAATGTTTCGATTCTTACAGGACTAAATCCTATTAATAGCCTAAACCCTAGACCCTAAACCCTAAAGCCTAAACCCTCAACCCTTAACCGGGGTGCATCTGGGTAGTTGTCAAAATTATGGTCCCTTTTGGGGTACCCTAAATAATAGGTGCTGATTAAAATAAGGATCCAAAAAGGGACCCTAATTTTGTGTTGTTTAAAGTTTTTAGACCGCAGGCTGGGGATTAAAGGCCCTAAACCCTAAACCCTAAACCCTAAACCCTAAACCCTAAACCCTAAACCCTAAACCCTAAACCCTAAACCCTAAATTGTTTAAAGTTTTAGACCCCAGGCTGGGGATTATAAAGGCTGTAGGAGGCTCCCAGGGCGTCCTTGGGCCGGGCCTTGTCGAGTTCCCATAGGGACTTCGAACGGGTTTAGTGTTTAGGGTTTAAAGGTTTAGGGTTTAGGGTTTAGGGTTTAGGGCTGGGGTTTAAAGGTTTAGGGTTTAGGGTTTAGGGTTTAGGGTTTAGGGTTTAGGGTTGGGCCCATGGCTTAGGGGAATCCAAACCCTGCTAACGGCCTAACACAGGGGCCCTCATAGTTAGAATTAAGGGTGTTGGGGTCCTTCATGGTATAACTATAGTAAGGAACCCAAAATATCATAGGTAACTGTTGAGGCCCCTATATTAACAGGATTGAGGGCAGGCGGGTATTGGGCTTGGGGCACTGGGCTGTGTCACCATGGGGTTTAGAAATCACCAAAAACCATGCCTCATGTCGTTCGGCCGGCAGAGCTTTGATGGTTTCGGGACTGAGGACGATGCTGCCCCTCCTCCTCCCCCTCCCCCTTCGCCTCCTCCTCCTCCTCCTTCGTCTTCTTCTTCGACTGCTACCACAACGGTAGGCTAGATCAAGACGACGTCACGCACGGCTGCATACCATGAAACCCGACAAGGCTCGGATTTCAAACTGCAACTTCCGAAGTCCAAAGCTCCAAAAGCCGGGGAAATCCGGCCTGCGGGCCACAACCTGAAAGCCTCAACCAAATGCCGTCACCCTCGGGCTGCTTACAGAATGTTTGGGTTTAGGGCTTAGGGCCCTGGGCTTGGGGTTTAGGGCCTAGGGTGTAAGGGTTTAGAGCAGAATAGGGAAGTTTAAGGTCCGGGCTTTAGGGGTTGAGGGTTTAGAGGGCTTGGAAAATTTCAAGGGCTTAGAGGGTTTCAAGGTACTCAACAGCCTTTACCCCCGCTTGAGCCACCTCAGCCCTTCATCATGAGCCCAGGCACCTGTCTTCACGTCCACGAGGATATTTTGCGGCTTCAAGTCGCGGTGGATGAAGCCGCTGCCTGCTCATCAGTCGGAGGTTGCTCTCCATTCGGTTTCCCTTTAGGGCAACAGGAGCCTTAAGTAATTAGAGTGGGGGGCCTTAAGTAGTTAGAGCGGGGCTTTGGGGCATGCTTCAGTATGCTTACAACAAGGAGCACTACTAAAGGGAAACATAATTGAGATCAGGATCCCAAGGGGATCCCCAGCTTCCAACAAGCCAATAAGCTGGCTCTAACGCAGTTTGTGCTGGTGGTGTCTGTGCTATGACGAGAGAAGGGATTCTAAACTAGATTATGGCCCTTAGACGAAAGTTGATGAGGTCTACCCAACCCTAAACCCCACACCAAACGGTTCTAGGCTTCGGGGCTCAGGTCGAAAAGCTTCGCGGTTTCGGCTTAATTAATGTAGGGGCCTTAATAGTCAGAATAGGGTTTTGGGGTATAGTATACTATAACTATTATGATAAGGCACCCCCCAAAACAGTATAGGTAACTATTACATATTATTAAGGCCCCTACATTAGACACGTAGCTCTCTAGCGCTCAGCTCTTCAGGACGTAAACGTCGGGGCTTAAGGACGGAAGGATCCCCCCCCCGCCGCCGCTACAGGGTCGGAGCCCTCCAAGACGGAACCCGAAACGGGTAGGATTACGCCCAAACCCTAAGCCCTAAACCCTGAACCCTAGACGTTACACCCTAAACCCATGATCGGTATTATTGCGATCAAGGCTATGACAAGTTACACTTCTTGGCTTTGAAGTAACCAGGGAGAAAAAAGTATAGACTTTTATTCATAATGGTTCCTTTAAGGAACAGGTCCCAAAAAAAAGTATTAAAGTATGGTACTCCAGAGCCCAGACTTTACGATGGAAGAAGCCTGAGCCCTGAATCCTACACTGGCTTCAAGCTGAGATCCGGACGGTGACAGCAGTCGACCCCTTCCAGAATTTGCCGGAACCTGGTACAAAAAGGGGCCAAAAGAGTCAGAATGAGGAGTTTGTGTCTTGTGATAGGCTCTCATAAGGTCTTAAGCTTTATAGCTTTTGAGGGTGCAAGCATTTAGGAGATTGGATTTACACATTGGGAATTGGGGTTTCTGGGTTCCCGGTCCGGAAACTGGGGAGCTTGGGGACTTAGGGTTTAGGGTTTTTGGGTTAAGTGGGAGATAGGATTAGGGGGACCCTTGGGGATATAGACCCTCTCAATAAGGTCCCTTTTAAGAGAGCCAAAAGTACCCT